CGGCGGCGGCGCTCGAAGCAGCAGCAGCGGGAGCCGGAGCCGCCGCGGGGGCCCCGCTGCTGCGGAAAGCAGATATCGGAGAGATGCTGCGCGCCGCCTGCTGCTGCTGCTGCTGCTGCTGCTGCAGCCGGCGCTGCTGCAGCATCACGCGCTTCCACGTGGGGTAAAAGGAAGGATCTGCTGGCAGCAGCGGCAGCAGCGTTGTTGCAGCCTCCAGGTGTACGTACACCGCAAGAGGGGCGTAAGCCACGGCCTCTTCCAGAGCAGCACAGTCCCGCAGCAGAAACCCGCCGAGCAGCAAATGCAGTTGTTTTGCTGCCTTGAGTCGCTCCACTTCTGCTGCTGCTGCTGCGGGCAGCAGCACGTGCTGCTGCTGCTGCTGCTGCTGCTGCTGCTTAAAACGAGCGCGAATGTCCTCCGTCACTGCTGCGCGCTTCCGCAGCGAACAAAACGTGGGACGGACCCGGCTGATGAATTGCTGCAGCCGCCGCAGCAGCGACACAGCAGCAGCTGCTGCAGCAGCGCCCGCGTAGCTGCTGCTGCCGTGCTGCTCCAGCGAGCAGCAAGCAGCAGCGCCGTCAGCAGCAGCAGCTGCTGCTGCTGCGGGAGCTCGCATGATCAAACAACTGCCGGCCTCAGCACTGGCCTCCGCCGGCGGCAAGTAAAGGGGAGGATCTGCTGCTGCTGCTGGCAGCGCCGACCGCAGCAGCACAACCAGCTGCACGTGCTGCTGCTGCTGCAGCTGCTCGCAAGCCCACAGCACGTTCTCCTTCTCAGCAGCAGCTCCAGCCCCAGAGTACTCTCCTGCGGCTTCTGCTGCTGCTGCTGCTGCACACCCTCCCGCTGCTGCTGCAGCGTCGTGTTCTACCCGTGGGGAATTCCCGCTTCCCAGCTGCTGCTGCTGCTGCTGCTGCTGCTGCAAGGCTTTGTGAGGATGAGGGGAGATGGAGACAGACACAATGTCCAACAGAGACACCAGAACGCCCCCCACGTCAAGGCCTGCGTCGCTGAGAACAGCAACTGTGGGGACCCAGTCAAATGCATGCGGCTGCTGCAGCGGGCAGCAGCAGCAGCTGCTGCTGCTGCTGCTGCCAGTGCTGGCGGTGCTGCTGGCGGTGCTGCTGGTGGTGCTGCTGGTGGTGCTGCTGCTGTCGCTTGCAGCTGCTGCAGAGGCAGCAGCAAAAGGCCCCGGCAGCGAGCAGCGCGGCTGCGGCAGCTCCACCAGCCACTCGTGCTGTACAGACAGCCGACTCATTGCATGCGCAGCTCCTAAGAGATCCCGTTCAGTTGTTATTTCCATTAAGTTTTGTTTCGGGGTCTCGGGAGAGAAAAAGGGGAAGTTTGCTGCTGCAGCACGCAGCAGCAGCGTTCCTATGCTGCAGCAGGCTGGGCTGCTGCAGCAGCAGCGGCACGGCTGCAGCGGGAGGCCTCCTGCAGAGCCAGCCCCAGCTGCAGCAGCAAGCACTGTTTCAAGCGGCAGCCACGGACGCAGCAGCAGCAACTGCTGCAGCAGCAGCTGACTGCACCAGGTGGCTGCTACAGCAGCAGCAGCAACAGGGTTCGGCCGCGAGTGTGCTGCGTCGCTGCAGCCGTTGCTGGTTGACGTGTCTGCCCAGCAGCAGCAGCAGCAGCAGAATCAGCTGGCTTTGTCTGTGCTGCTGCAGACATTCATACATAGCTACAAAGGGTTTAGACTGTATGGCAGCTGCGCTGCCTGTGCTGCTGCTGCTGCAGCAGCAGGAAAACGGGGGGAGGGAGAGCAGCAAAGCGCGGCAGCAAGACTTCAGCGTTTCTTAATCATTAAACAAATACAAAAAAGGAAAAAATATGACACCAAGCTGCTGCTGCAGCTGCTGCTGCTGCACAGGGGAGGGAGGCCAGTGTTACTACGGTGGGGTTGCGCTGTGTGGCTCCCAGCTGTTCACCAGACACGCGGCGAGCAGCAGCAGCAGCAGCAGCCTCAAGCAGCAGCAAATAAATAAATAAAACTTCAAAATGTATTTAAAAATCAAATTAAAATTCCAAAAAGGTCTTTTTTGTAATTTCAAATGACAAAATTGCTCAGCAGCAGCCCCTGCTGCTCCCGCACAGCTAGACGCACCGGTCTGCTGCAGTCCAGTGTATTCTCACTTTTCTGTATGCTCACTTGAACTAAAATTTAATTTTAGTTCAAATTTAATTCTAATTTAAATTCAATTTGAATTCAAATTTATTTCATTTGGGCCCTCGGCCCCAACTCCGGGCGCCTCCGGGCGCCGCCGAAGAAGCCCCAACGCCCCCATGGCTAGCTAGCCCCTGTCCACCAGCTAGCCAGCCAGCCAGCTAGCGAACTAACTAGCTAGCTAGCTAGCCAACTACCAAGCCAGCTGGCTAGCTAGCTAGCTAGCTAACCGGCTAGCTAGCTAGCTAGCTAGCTAGCCAGCTAGTGCTGGAGTTCTGCAATTGCTGCTAACTGTAGCTGGCCTAAAGCGCCACCTAGCCCAGCGGGGCAGCAGCCCGCTTCTAGATCTAGGAGTTGTGCATTTCTGAAAGGAAAATAAAACGAAATTAACATTCAATTCTATTTGATCCTATTTCTGTGAACTACAGCTAAGGCGCAGTGTCTGTACACCGCAGAGGGCCCTCGAAGACGACAAATCCGAAAGCAAGAAGGCGAAAATCACGCAAAGCCTTTGTCGAATCCTGCGTTGGGGGAGCCCCCCAGCCCAGTGGTCCACTGGTCACGGACCAGTGGTCCATTGGTCCAGCGGGCTCAGGCGCGCATGGGCCTGCCGCCCATGCCGCCCCTGTGCGCAGAGGCCACAGTGACGTTGGGGAGGGAGATGTTGAGGGCCTGCAGCATCTCCTCAGTGTCCTGGTCGATCTGAATTGTGGGGACATCAATTTCGGACTTCTCCGGCACGAAGTCCATGCGCCGCTCCCTCTCCTCCTCCTGCAGCTTCAGCGAAATGCCGCGGACAGGTCCCTTCTGAATGCGCTTCATCAGGTGCTGAAGAGGGGAAAAAACGCGAACGCAGCAACTCGATGGCTCTTTCTTCGGCTAGGAAACGCGAAACGTGAAAGGAAACGGAAAATGGAAATAAATGCCGGTAATTGCGTTCAAAAACAAAAAAAACCGCATATAAATGGTCATATGGCTCAAATATAATGTGCAAAAGGAGATCTGCTTCCACTTGAACTGCGCAGGTTGGGGTGTACGTACTGTGATGAATCCCGCAACCTTGTTGCGAATGCGCTTGGAGGGAATGAGCGCCACTTCTTCTGCGATCTTCTTGTTGATCTGAAAATCCAGAGTCAACCTGAATAAAAAAAGAAAAAATAATTGAATTTGAACCAAATAAAATGCAGAACGCGCCGTATTCCCTCGGTTTCCACTCTGCCTCCGCAGCAACAACCGCAGCTTACTTCGCGTAGTACTTCTCGACGATCTGGCGCGCCGCGCGCTTAACTGTTTTCGTCCTGACGCGCCCCTGCAATTAAAAACAAATAAAAGAAAGAAGTCAACAGAAAACATTCAAAACATGCAACTTGAACATGCAAGAGGCGCGCCTGCATGCAGCACGAGAACGCGGCAGCCACGAGCTCCCAGCCCCCCATAACGCCCACAAACCCTCTACGCAGCGCCACGTGACCAGTGGACCACTCAACACCCAGCGGTGGTCGAAACAAGCCCCAAGAGCCGCAGCTGGGAAGCCCCGAAGGGGTGCAGCTGCTGCAGCTCCTGCGGGCCCCCCGGGGGGCCCCCGCGGCCGCCGCAGTGTACAGACACCCGAAAAGAATGGAGGACAGTTAAAAGGAAATGAAATAAATCAAAACAAAAGAAACTCCGAGGGGAGAGTTGCTGCAGGAGAACCAGCAGGTCTTCCCCGCCTGCGTTGCCTTTGGAGAAAAGCGGCAGCAAAAGAGTTCGAAATAAAGTTGAACGGGAAATGAAAAAAGGAAATAAATTCAAGTTGAAGAAGAGCTGCTGCGCTGCAGCAAAGGCTGCCTGTGGGGTTGCAGCAGCAGCAGCAGCAGCAAAAGGCCTCACCATTTTCCAGCGTTTGTGCTGTTCTAAAGAGAAGAAGGGGCCGAAAGAGAAAACGAAACAGCAGGAAGATCTGCAGAAAAGCAATTAACTCTTTTGCCCCTTACTCTCTTCGCCAGCCCCTGGCTGCTGCTGCTGCTGCTGCTGCAGCAACAGCAGCAGCCCCACGGCTGCAGCAGCTCGGGTGTCGGGGCTTTCTGGGCAGCGGGAAATTCGCGTTTTTTGCAAATTTTGCAATTATAAATAAGAATTTGAATTTAATTTGCATTTTAATTAATATTTTTAAAACTTTTAACGAAATTCAAAAAGACTTTTCCGAAAAGGTGCAGCAGCCAGAAAGCCCCAGCAGCCACCGCCTCAGGGTGGTGGTGGCGGGCAAGAGGCACACGGCGCCGCTGCTGCTGTCAGGCCCATCAAAAGTTCCAATTTATGTTTTCTATTTTATATTTTTTGAATTTTGAAAAAAGAAAAAGACATTCTGGACATTATTTCTCTCAGTGTGCTGCAATGCTGCGCTAGCGTGGCTGCGCTGCTGCTGCAGGGCTCGCCGTTGGCGTCTCGCGTCTTCGTTTCTTCTTTTTGCTGCACTCCCCGCAGCAAAGAGCAACAATATCTTTGCCTGCAACACTGACCAGCTGCAGCAGCAGCATCTGCTGCGCTGCTGCTGCGGACTGCAGCAGCAGCGAGCAACAGCGAGCCAGCCATTTCTCATGACTGCAGCAGCGCGCTGTTGACCAATGGTCACTCCACTGGACCTGAACTCTTGAGGCTCTTCAAGCCTTGCCTCTGACCAGCAGCAGGTGCTGCTGCTGCCGCTGCCGCTGCTGCTGCTTCAGGCCAAACCCCAAACCCTAAACCCTAAACCCTCAGCAGCAGCAATGCAGCCGCCCCCAGACGCTCCACAAGAACTCAAAGACTGCTGCGAGCTGCTGGCTGTCCGCCACGGGCTGACAGACTACAACGCGCAGCGGCGGCTGCAGGTGGGCAGCAGATCTGGGGCTTCTTGCTGCTGCTTCGCGCATTTATTTGAATATTTTTTATTAATTAGAAATGTATTAAATAAATATTTCAAATTAAAGCCTTTCTGCTGCAGTTTTGCTGCACTTGTTCAGTGGGAGCAGCGCGGCTGCTGCACTGACAGGGAAACCTGGAGCGTTCTTGAACATGCAAGACTCCCGGGTTTGCAGCGGTGGCCGGGTCTTCTTTTTCCTTTGTTTGTGAAGTTTGGGACTTTTATTTTCATTTAAAATGTTTATTTTGTTCTTATTCGAAATATTTATTTCCGCTTTCCACTTTTTCCGCAGGGCCAGCTGGACGTGCCGCTGAACGACACTGGGCGGCAGCAGTGCCGCGAATGCGGCAGCCGCCTGCGGTGAGTCTCGAGAGAAACAAAAGGAATAAATGGATGAAATGAAATCATGATTGAATTTATTTCGAAATTAATGCAAAGAAAGACCCCAAAGCCGGGCGTTTCGGCCCGTAGCAGCTGGATTCACATTTTTGTGTGTAGATTTGCATTCATATTCGATTTGCATTCATATTCATGCTTCCGGTGAGCTGATCCAAGGGAAAGCTCGCCTCTCAGTGCCTCTTGCGTTTCCAATTCTTTTAATTTATTTGCATTTCATTTTAATTTTATTCCTTTTCTTTTTGCTGCTGCATTTTCTCACAGGAACCTCTTCGGTGGCCCGAAGGGCGCGGCAATCTCTGCGATCTACTCCAGCCCGCTGGGGCGCACTCGCGAGTCCGCGGAGATGTAAGTTAAAATGTTTTGCATTTGCAAATATAAATAAATAAAAATAAAAGCAATTTATTTGCCAATCAGCAGCTTGTGTGGCTTCTAATTCGAGAAAGAGAAAACAAGTTGAATGCAGAGGAGCATCAATTGATGAATTTGTTGAAATGTGACTTGCCTCTTCGCATTAATTGCAGCACCACGGAGTAAAAGGAAAGAATTTAGGAATTAATCGAGATTAATCGAAATGTAATTGAAAAAACGGATAAATTGAATGCAAAAAAGCATAAATTGCATTATTTGAAATGCGACTTTCTTTGCGCCAGCATTCGGGAAGCAGCCGGCATAGAAAGCGCTGTTGTGCTGGACAGCAGATTGCAAGAATGGAATGCGGGAATATTGCAGGGTATGAAGTTCTTTTTAATTCATTTATTTATTTTTCATTATCTTACTCCTTTATTTATTCTTTTTGCCTTTTATTTTCCCCTTTTGTTCCACTTTTTGTCCTTTGCTGCTGCTGCTTCCTCTGCTGCTGCTG